TTAAGAAATGGCTTTCTTCTTGCCACTCTTCCATAAAGGCCAGATTTGTGCGGTATACGACTGATTGTTGTCCTATGGACAGAGTCTCCCACCTCAGCTGTAGATCTCTGCAGTTCATCCAGAGTGATCATGGGCCTCTTGGCTGCATCTCTGATCAGTCTTCTCCTTGTATGAGCTGAAAGTTTAGAGGGACGACCGGGTCTTTGTAGATTTGCAGTGGTCTGATACTCCTTCCATTTCAATATTATCGCTTGCACAGTGCTCCTTGGGATGTTTAAAGCTTGGGAAATCTTTTTGTATCCAAATCCGGCTTTAAACTTCTCCACAACAGTATCTCGGACCTGCCTGGTGTGTTCCTTGTTCTTCATGATGCTCTCGCGCTTTAAACGGACCTCTGAACTGTCACAGTGCAGGTGCATTTATACGGAGACTTGATTTCACACAGGTGGATTCTATTTTTATCATTAGTCATTTAGGTCAACACTGGGTCATTCAGAGATCCTCACTGAACTTCTGGAGAGAGTTTGCTGCACTGAAAGTAAAGGGGCTGAATAATTTTGCACGCCGCATTTTTCAGTTTTTTATTTATTAAAAAGGTTTGAAATATCCAATAATTTCATTCCACTTCATAATTGTGTCCCACTTGTTGTTGATCTTCACAAAAAATTACAGTTTTAAATATTTATGTTTGAAGCCTGAAATGTGGCAAAAGGTCAAAAGTTCAAGGGGGCCGAATACTTTCGCAGGCACTGTATGTGTGTGTGTGGGTGTGTGTGTATGTTATGTGTGTATATATATAAACTTACAAACCTGTACATTTTATATTAGCATTGTAAATTTTACATAGTTTGTAATAGTACTCCACGGGCCAAGGTTTGTTATCAATTTGATGTCTCTGATGAAGTTGATCTGTAGGTAGGGTGTTTCAACCTCTTTTGTCTTTTGGTGCTTAGTTTCCTGAAATCCTGTCTGTTACAGTCCCTTATTATCAAATTTAGCATACTCTTTATAACTTGTTTACCTTATTTTTCTTCTGGGGATTTTAGTATATTATGATTATCCTCACCAACATTAGATATGTTGTCCTACAGCTCACACTACAAAAAGTCAGCATATCTTTTCATTTATGATTAATTACAACACCTGGTCAACCACAAACCCCAGTGGTGATTTATCTCATGCTAGCTTTTAATTCATAGCATGATTCTCACCTTTGTCCACTTGAGTGATCTCTGCTCCATGTAGTGTACTCCGAAGAATAAGAACAAAAATGTGTTTTATAAATGAGAAAAATAATAATAATAGTATAATTGGTCAGTTATTTTGTAATGAATCTTGTGTGGTGTTTGTGCTGCAGATCTTAATGGCCCTGGAAGGCACAGCAGTGCCACCCAAATTGTCATAGAATATTTTTTGTTTTTCATGTCTGTTGTATAGAAAGGCACATACGGTAGCATAAGGAAAAAGAAAGAGCGAGACACGCGTACACACAGGATTTTCATGCAGTCCATGTTCTTAATTACTTACACAATGTCCCCAGACACAGTCACACGGCAAAGCAGCTCGTTAGATGCATCTGTTCAGGCCTGTCTGTCAGCTACAGCTCGACACACAGAGACAACCGGTCTATAACTTGTTAGCAGTGAAAAAAGGACAGACAAGGACAGCGTTACTTTAGTACATGTAAGACAGTATTTGCAGCAGGGTTTAGTCTGTCTCCTACTACCAGGAGGCTTGGACATCAGCCGCGGATCATCGCAAACTGTTTTCGCGCAATTTGTTCTTTCTGCGGGAATGAAAACAGACACTATTGCTGAACTCATCAAATGAGCAAATTACAGTCTTTGAAATGCATCTTGACCATATGACTTGAAGAGAAACAACACTCCTGATGCAGATCCTGATGAGCTGCCCAACGGACAGACTGGCCCATTCTGGTGGCAGAGCCAATTATCAAGACAAAGAAGCTCCAGAATGTTTCCGCTAATGCTAGATGTGGCATATTATTCGCAAGCTGTTATTGCATAAAGCTCGAATAAGTAGTTTGCATTATCGCAGCGAGTTAGTGTTATGGCTTAAGTTTTTCTCCAGTATTTCTGTGCAGGTGGATAATGCCATATGTTTCTATTATCTTATATTTAACAGTTTGATCAGTAACGTATGACTTTTAAGTTGTGGTCAAGTACTTGTCCTCTGGCAGGTCATCGGACGTTTTCTCATTTAAGTTAGAGTAATGAAGAGTGATTAATGAGGACTTTAGATTGGATTGTATTCCCTCATGTTGCCTCCCAAATTATATTACATCTCTAGACATCCCTCCCCCTCCTTCCGCTTTTACCTTTCAGTCACTATTACCATATAATACCTCTCCATACCAGTCATTGTGTAATTCAGCACTTCTCTCCCATCATCAGGAAATTTACTAGATTAGGTGTGATAAAACGCACAATGGGAACAGATCGCTCTGATCATTTTACTCAAAGCTTTGTCTTTTAGGCCT